CCCGCGCACTGCGCACGCGCGCACGCGCCGCCTCAGCCCCCAGACGGCGGCTGAGATTCCCGGGCGGACACTCCCAGCCCCGGCGAAACTACAAGTCCCAAGAGGCCGCGCGCGCACCCGGCGGCGTGGCGGGCCCCGGGATCCGAGCGTCTTCCTGGTTCCAGGGCGGCGATCCGGAACGCGCCGGGTGGGCGGGACGCGCGCAGAGCTCTGGGGGCCCCCTGCGCCGTGCTGCATTCTGGGATTCGTAGTTTTCGAGAACCACGAGGTTCAGCTGCGAAGTGGAACTCGGAGTTCTTTGATGTCATCACCCACAGCTGCAAGCTCCAAGTATCTTTAACAATAAGCCGGGTTTCTATGCTGAGAACTTGTTTGCTAGCTGTTATAGTCTGTCCAGGAGGTAGGACTTCGTAGGCTGCAGCGTGACCGGAGTAAAGCCCTTTTTTTCTTTCGCGCTAGGTTTTTCCGCTCCTGTTTTTTTCCTATAGATGGAGCTCCACCTCCTTAGAATTGGTGTTGACAGGACCAGAGGCTAAGTCCAGACATTTAGAGAAAGACTTGGGAATGCTTTCGGGACTGTTACGTTCTCGTAAATACTTACGAATGTCTAACGCTTTTGTGGAGCAGGTTCCGTGCGTCAGGGACCTGCCCTCATTGTAGCCTGTGTTCTGTAGGGCGAGCTAGCTCCTAAGTTACACTACCGAGTTCCCGAGAGAGGGGCAGAGGACACGTCCTCGGAGAGGGTGCTCAGGAAAAGGCCTCTGAAGAAGTGATACTTGACAGAAACCTGAAGAATGAGAAATATTCAGACATGCAAAGGGCTGGAAAAGAATCACACGTTTCGTAGGGCTTGCAATTGATTCTCCAATATTTGTTCCTTTTGTGTCCTTTCTTTCTTCTCCCTGAACAGCCTTACATCACACCCTCCCGCCTTCAAAATCTTTATCAACACTTTTCAGAACCTCCTGCCTATGTGAAGATGTACATGATACTAGCGATGTCTAGAAGTAGGACATACTGTTCTCAGCGCCGGATAAACAGGTGGATTAGTGGGGAACCGCGTGGAACACTCCTGTGCTGGCTCTGATTGTTCCCCTTCTGCTGCTTGTCTTTCAAACTGATTGTTATGGTATCTTCTGAAAAACCTCAGCTGTACAGCCTGCTGGCACTTCTCTCTTCTTCCGGGTCTCCTTTTCCTTGTTTCTGTAATGGTTGAAAGGCTTTGGACCCACCAATCTATGAAGTAGCCAGAGCACTCTGTTTCCGTCACTCACTGAGTTGGGTTTTATTGATTTAACTGGTGTGTAGCTGACATTTAAAAATAAAAGTTTTCACCTAAAAATCCAGATGTCACCTCTGATTTGGCTAGGCATTTGGGGCTGGCTTTTCCTGGCTTGAAGGTCTGGAAGAAGTCCTCATCTTTTGAGCTCTAGAGCCCTAGAAAATTCCATCGGAGAGATTTGTGACATACAAAACAGATATTTCCTGTTTGTCTGTAGTTCAAATTTAACATCTTTTATTCAATCTGAAAACCCTAGCCCTGAAATCAGACCACTGAAGCAGTGAGCCTCTGAGTTCTTCCTACCTGGAACCATTAGTCACCATTGGCCAAATAGTGTGAAATTATTCCCTTGCTCTATTTTTTTTTCTTTGCAGAATGAATCCTAAAGTTTGTCTGACTTTGAGAGCCAAATCTATTCACAATGAGGAAAGCCATAGAGGTGATGTACAACAAAGTAATCCCAGTAATCCCAACAAAGTAATCGAAGTTGTGATATAGAAAGAACTGGCTATATCTCCTGATCTGCCAAGAAGTACAGAGGAGGAGGAGGAGGAGGAGGAGGAGGAGGAGGA